TTCTTACTTCGCTGAGAGTGAACTTGATATTGCTCCACTGGAAATCATGCATTGCGCGCGCAACCTAAAGATTATTCACTAATCTTTAGGTACAGATTAGTGAATAATCTGTAGGTTGCGCTGTTTCCCAAAATTAACTGTGGGCGTTTAGCCAATGAGAAGACAGATGGTGACTACAATGCATAATAATCATGATAATTGATCTGGCTGGAGTGTAATTTGGTCTGTACTCATACGCGTGATTTCAAAGTTAAACGAGCGCGCTGCTCGAATTTGATTTGAGCTCTCGAGTTCACTTATCACTTTTTTACATCTAATTTGAAATCATCAAAGTCAGTCGTTCAATACAAGTTTTTTTTAGTCGGTACAATATTTTATTGATCCAGTATACTGAGCTGGTCTGTGGAAAGTTGCAAAAGTTGTCTCTCATTTACTCGCACTTTAATTGATTTCTTTAAACAAACCCTGAAATTTGATTGGTTGTAGTGTTTTGGTAAAGCTGTCTCATTAGCTAGTAAAAATATGCAAGTTAGAGCATAAAATGGTGCAATTTATTCACAAATCGCACTGGTGAGAGCCAATCAGAATGCAAGGATCACAAGTGATTCAAAAATGATGTGATAAGGAAAAAAATCAACTGATGTTACCCTGCGATGACATTAGTCTGGCTGTATTGAAATTATGATTTCTTCTTATTTTGGCCGTGTTTTCTTTCTTCGGAATGGGGAGTATTTTTCCTTAAAGTGAATTTTTTTAGTCGTCGTTGTGGACAGTTTTGTTTTATTAGCCACAGCAGCCAACTTACCACACGCCATCCATCTGCTTTACTTAGAGGGAAGATTAGGAACTCATCGCGTAGGCCCACTATAGGAGCTATTTTTTCCATCTTCCTCATCCTTAATGACGATATATTTCTTGTTTATTGAGGTTTTTGTTTCGTTTGTTTTGTTTTGTACAGCATTACCAGGTGAACTGGACATGCTCTTCGTGTTTTAAGAAGCATGATTCAATACTGGTTTCTAAAACTAAATACACATTTAAGAATTTGGAACACTCCAGAACATACAATTTCTCTGTAAAAGCAATGACGACTAAATTTGGTTCTGGGGAGGCCTCGACTGTGACGGCCACAATAACCGATAACTTTGGTGCAGTTGGCAGTTTGAGTCAGTCACTCTCAGAAAACAATTTGACGCTTCATTGGGATATGCCAACTGACGTGGAAAAGGGAGATGTTCAGGTAAGGGTCGTTAAAAACCCGATATAAAGGTCACTCTCCATATATATGTTCGCTAAATTACTAATTCCATGGTGGTGATTTTGGCAATGAAAATGATTATGTCGATGATAATGATGATAATGAGGATGATGATAATAGTAGCAATAAATGATACTAAACTAAAAAGAATGGTACACTCTATTATTGTAATATACTTTACAAATATCTGACTGGAGATTTTATGACAGGGTTTTGTGTAGTACATGTTCTCGTAAATTGCACAATGATAACTACTTTTCAGCCGTTTTGGTCTGTAATTTTTCTCAAAATATAACCGATCCATACTTGAACCTCTCGTAGTGTCCACGTTATACAAGATTTTTATCACGAAAAGACGCAGTTGTGGTGCCTGTCTCTGTTTTTCAGAGGTGTCCGTTGAATACATGTTCATTATTAAGGTTAATATCGTTGGGAAAATTTGGAATGATGGCTGTTGTCCTGCCATTACAAAGTCCGCTCAGCACAGGTGTCTTTGAAGCCTCAACAGGAGGTTACTCTTATCTTGTTAGAAGCGGAAAGTTCACAAGGTGAGGACCGAATTACAGTTCTTATTGGGAACTGCCCTGTCTGTGTTTTTCAGATCTATCAAATTAGCTGGTGTCAAGAAGAGCAGTACTACTATTGCTGGGAACGTAACACTATTAATTCCACGGGCAATGCAACTCACTTCACGATGCAGGTGCTTTCTGGCTATACGTACAACTTTTATGTTCAAGCTTACACAGCTTATGGAGTAGGGAGAGAGTCCAGCATTCAAGTCATAGTGCCGCCTCTTGCTCTGGCAGTGTCGTATGGTTATGGGCGGGCGACGGGAGGCAACTATGGATTAGAAGTTTCTTTGCACTGGTGGAGGTCCCATAGTTATGTAGACAACACCGTGAGTGCACGCTTTGTTCTTCTTTTTTTTTTGCCTTTGCGTCTTTTGGTTTTGGATTATATTTATCGTTATGGTTATCATTCTTGAGATTATGGTTGCCGGGAATGCCTCCAGTAGTTTCCCGAACAGGTTACTACTCACAAGTGTTTTAAAACACAACCGATTTATTCCCGCACTTCTATAGAAACTCGCGATGAAAAGAGATACGCATGATTGCACTCACACGTTTTAATCTGTCAATCAAAAATCTTAGCTATACTCGGCTCCAGTCTCCGACATGATTGTGATCATGATCAGTATCATTCGTGAGTTTTTCCTTTTTTTCCGTTTCGCAACGTCTTATTGAGAGGTTTTTCGAATCAACACCCAAGTACCTCTGTGTTGTTAGGTCTGTGCTTATGTCAGCTTCTTAACCCTGTGACCCTTAAGCGAGGAAAGCACAGAATTTCCCTTTACAATATCACCTCGGAGTCAAACATCAAGGTCATGAAAATAAAGGAAATGATCACAGCTAAAGACACTCGATCGTTAAACAAGTTCTCCAAGTCGCTACCTTAGAAAATGTATAGAGAAGATCATGGAGAATATCCGTACTTATGTCATGGTGTAAAGGGTTAACAAAAGTCAGAACTATTCAGAAAACGCAGCTCAATCTTACACCTTCATCTTTCTGTTTTGTCCGATAGCAATATGAAGTAGAATGGCGCTGCTTATCAGGAACAGGAAGTGGGTACTGTTTTTGGTACAATCGGTATAGATGGAACAGCATTGTTGTAAATGCAACCTCCGCACTCCTGAATATGACATCTTATGGAGTTACTTTCATGTTTAAAATCACGCCAACCATCCCTTCACGAGGCAGAGGAAAGTCCTATCGTTTTGTTGTCAATATGCCTGATTTCAATGCATCCATTGGCAATTTTACCTGTTGGGCTGAATACTTGTCAAATGGTACTCGTCTCAAGTGTCACTGGTCCCAACCCAAAGGCTTCGATATATCTAAATTTTATGTAAGTGACAACAAACTGAATTTAAGCGCTTTTCGATTTCTTAGTGCATGCGCTTAGAGCAGTTTGCCATTTTAACTTCAGAGTTCCCGTTGGCAAATGAGGACGAAAACCGTCGTGCGATTGGCTGTTTTGATTAGGTTAATTTGTTTTCTTAAACACTCGCTGAAAGCTGTTCTAATGTTCTAATAATTTAGTACATGTAGCCTTTATGGGCTCATCCAAGATAATGGCCCAAGACTTTCAAACAATCAGTGTAACAAATGGTAAGACCACAGCGTACGCTGTTGAGGTATGGATGCTCTTTGGAGGTTGCTAAGCATTAAGGAAGCGTAACAGTCGTGTGAGGTGATGGCTTCTCGAGTGCTTAGCAAACCTCTTAAGTGCATCCATAACTCAATAGTGTACGCTGTGGTGTTTGCCGTTTGTTTTATAACGTAACATTGATACATTGTAGCAAACGAGCTCCCTTTTACTCAGCTCTAAAATCTTACGCGACTAGAACAAACAAGCGCACGGAAACCAGTCTTTGCATTTCCTGACATCAGCAGCGTACACCCATGGCAAATGGTGTACACTGAATTCATCAATCAAAGCGCGCGCTTTACTTGGTTGTGTTATAATGTTAGTTACAAGGCACCTTAAGTTATTTAATTGTGTTTTTGTGTTATTTAATTTTGTTTTTGGTAGCACTACGACTTCAAATACAGGTGTGACGATTGTCTTGGGGGACATGACATCTACAGATCAATCAGATCTATTAATCAAACCTCAATCATCATAGATGTGGATAGAGGTCAACGATACACACTTTGGAACAAAGCCCACGCAGCTTATGGATTTGGAACTCAAGCCCAGACCACGGTTCTTATTAAGTCTAAATTAGGACCTGTGACAAGTCTGAAAGCTGTAATTGATCCAAAGGAGAAGGACCGTGTGCATTTGTCGTGGAAAGCCCCAGCCCACTCGTCCATTAAGGTTTGTATTAAAAAGATGTTGCAGAGCGGCTACTATTGTAAGGAGCCCCTTTACCCAAAACCAAGTGATAAGATTATAGGAAACAAGCTATGAATTTTATCAAACACCTTTTCAAAATTCTTTTTGTCTTTGCCTCCGATGTTCCCAAGAACTGATTAGCATATTTAACCCTTAACTGCAAAGAAGGACCAAATTTCTCCTTACAAAATCACAGAAAAGTGATGAAATGAAAGAATGATACAGTCCAACCTTTATAAAGCGGCACCTCGTCAAAGTGCTGAATTTTTTATCCCGTGATTACTGTAATTTTCACTCCTATTTAGTGGTCACTTACTGGATCCCAACGAACTGTGTTTAACGGTTACGTAAAGCACAACCACTAAATTAAAACTAAGTATAATCTTTGTCGTAAAATGTAGTCCATGTTTATTTCCGAAATCAAGGTTGGTAGTAATATTGAGCTAAATTTTGTACATGAAGTAGTCAATTACGGCATAAAAGGACGTTTTTTTAATCGTTTCTCTATTGTACCCTTTTCTGTGGAACCTGTTTTGAGCGGTCAACTTGTATTTAGCGGTCATCCAGCCATTTCCCGCTTAATATATATTTGACTGTATCAACAAAGCGATGATTTTTGCTTTAACACCTTATTCTCATAACTGAAGTCAAAAAATGTAGGTTAAACAGAGCAGGGAGATAATCTTTTACGAACTTGGAAATGAAAGGGTTAAACCAAGGATAAAACAGGTTTCCACAGTAGCTTATTGTGACTTCGTTGGAGAACGAGGTCGTTATCGTGCTCTTGACGTAATCCTGAAGTAATCGAAAAAAGCTTTACTTAAATACCCATCACGTTTAGGAGAAACAACGTCCTGAATATTCACAATAATTTCAAAATCCGGGCCATTTCGTTTATAAGCACTTACCAAATACAGATTTTCGTTATTTTTTTTCTTATTCAACTCTGGGAATTGTAGCTCATTTAGAAAATGGAGAAAAGAAATAATGGGCAGCCATTATTTATTTCCGAGATTAGTTTCAGTTTATTACCTCGGTAATAGGCGAACTTATAAGCACTTACCAAATACACATTTCCGTTTTTTTTTTTTTTTGTCTTCTTCAACTCTGGGAATTGTAGCTTATTTAGAAAATGGAGTAAAGAAGTGACAGGGAGCTATTATGTATTTCTGATCTCAGTTTTAGTTTGATACTTCGGTAATAGGCGAACTTAACGGTTTAGATTATCCACAGTAAGGATATCAGAAGGACCTATTAGTCAGCCAGCATTGACGAGGGGGTAGGTTGTCACGATACAATTTGCCTGATCCCTTCCCCCCACGAAGGCTTTGTTTTATTCTCATAAATCCAGTTAATTGGCTGTCAGTTTTCTAAACTCCCCCTTTTGTACTCTGTCAACGATGACTGATCCCCACTCCATTCCCTCTGAAAGCTATGTGATCCCCCTCAAAATCCCTGACCTGTTTAGGCGACAATTAACAGTTGTTGCCCTATTTCTTTTACTTTTAGTCTTACATCGTGGTCATTGAATGTCCGGATTGCGCATCATTTAAAACAGACCCAGTAGTGAGGGAAGAGACCAACTTCACCCAAATCCTCCCCTGTGGAAACTCGTACAAGTTCACCGTTAGAGGAGTTACCAAGGACAGTAAGCGAACCCAGGAGAGCACTCAAACGCTGAGCCTTCCAGCACCTGTTGGAAAAGTAACAAACTTTACAGTCAAGCCTAAACCATTCAAACCTGATGATATTCTCGGTGACGAGAAGGAATGTTCTGTAATTAGGTGGGGCCCCCCTCAGGAAAAGGAGCCTTCTAGCGCAGAGGTATCGTGAAACCGCCCCAAGTAATTTCCCCTCTTGATATTTACAATACGTTTTGATTTGTTGGTTTTCTTTGCCAGTAATGGTGCTTCTCGACTCGTTATCCATTTGAATTCGGTAAATGTAAGGTGTTGTCTTTCTAACGGTGAACATTTGTGGCTTAAAAACCCCGTTAAGCAACGACAAATAGTACGTTGGCAACCGCCTGTATACATATTCGCTTCGAAAATCGTACCAGTTTCTGTAGGAACTTAGATATTGTAGGACTAGTCGCGTAATCATTAATTTTGAGTTATTCGGTTAAAAACAACTGAAAACTTCGAACGAAGTTAGACTAACACTACTCTTTACTTTTTGCGAAGTCCGTCGCGCGAGTAAAAATAATCAGGGATATGTTGGGCAGTTCGTGCGCGTCTTTCCCTGATCTTCAGCCGACGCGCCATTATTATCTTTCTGTTTCTCGCAAATCATAGACTCGTGCGACGGAATTCGCCGAAAAGCAGAGACTTTGGTAGCCTTGAAATATCTCGTTGGTTTTCACAATCTAAGTTCGTCTATCCCGTTCGCCCTTTCTCCGTTAAAGTTCGTTTTCTTTCTTCATCAAGGTTTAGACCTCCTTCAGAAGGTAGTTTCCGAATTTCGCGATCGGGGATCTGGCTTTTAGCGGCCTCTTTTTTTCAGGAACAATGGAATGGCCTGTAGGATGAGCGAAAGTGTATTGGGTTATTATCCCCTGAATGTCACCCAAAGTTTGACATGCTTATCTTGATATCCTGTGTTTCAGTGGAATGGCTATGAAATTGTGGTGAGGACGATAGATTCCCCAAAAAATATCTTATATTTCACGAATACGTCAAAGGAGACTCAGGAATTTACTTTGTGTGTTACTGAGCGCAATGAATTGCAAGCTGGAAAGGAATATTTTTTCGAAATTCGTGTCACTGTTCCCTGTGGCTTTGGTGAAAGAGCTAGAGTGATTGCTCGCTTCGCCAGTGTTTTGGGTGAGTATTGCTTCCTTTCGTTTTGTTACATCGTCACTATGCCTTAATTTTAATCAGGCTCTGAAATCAACTATCTTGTTTACTTCCTTGTTTTCAACCAAGTAGGATCGTCTGAAATTCATTTGGGAGGTTACAATTGTCCTTTGCATACATGATTCAATGTACTTAACTGCTTTCGACAAACTCCCTCCCCTCTCCCCCCCCCCAAAAAAAAAAACAAAACAAAACAAAAATTTCTTTTTTACCAGATTCGAAATACGTCGCACACGTTTGTATACCCTTTCAGTTATCAACTTAAGTTCTGTAAGTGTTATAAATCACCTGGGAAATTTGAAATTCCGCCATTTCTTCGCAATAGAAACGTTCAAATTTAACTCTCTAGCTCCCCGTTAGGATACGTTTGTAACTTATCCTTATAATATCAATACCTTTTCTAGCAAACAAGGGATGATATTATACAATCGTAGTTAGTTTATACAAAACAGAATTGTTCTTGTCTTGAGTTTTCTTTGATTGTTGCAATACAAACATCCGGTTTTGATTTGTGGAAAATGTACCAATGTTTGAAAGGCGTGCCTGCAAATGGAGCGTTACACTCGCTGTTGTTTTCTCCATTTGTGTCGATGGAGATCTTTTTTGTAAGGGAAAGTCAAGGAATTTTAAAAGCCTATATCTTTTGCGGCTTTGCTTTAAGCGTTGTGGAGGTTTTTAGTCGGGTACGCGAAGCGTACAAACGACTATTAGAATGGGGCAGAATATACAAATGTGTCACTCGCTCAGATGTAAACAAATCGATATGTCGACGGCAGACCAATTCTTTACCCAAACTGCACTCTGCAGTCTTCATTTTGTACCTAGTCTGCATTTCGCACCCGGTTTGCAGTCTGTATTTTGTACTTACCGATAGCTAAAATGTGAATTCTGACCATTCACCCAACATCACCCCAGCAGTTCAAAGTAATACCAAGTAGTTTCAACTGTATCCGGGAGGTACCCATTGGAATTTAATTATCTTCAAAACTCATTCAAACGCAATGTATCCACGACTTATTCACAGTTTCCTTTAATTCAAGTGAATGCGGTTTCACAATGCATTTATCATCTTCTATCTCTACAGCTTTATTGGGTTAGATTCACCATTGACACCGAATTTGATTTCTTTTTTTGCCAGTTCCCAACCAACCGCCCACTTCATCTGCTAGAAAACAAACTGTTAACAAAGGTTTGAATCCGGTGATATGGGCGGTACCTGTAGCTGTGATTGGACTGATCCTTGTCGTGATCATGATCTACTTCATTCATAAGTCGCGTCGTCTGGAGCGCTCAATGTTCGCTCTGATGACAAGGAAAATTATAGATGATGATGATGATGATGAGGGCGGAGTCACATTTCATTCAGGTACTGAACGAAGGATACTTTGGTGTATTGAAATATTGAAATGAAACGCGAGACTAACTGATGACATGACTCTGCGAGAGCTTAACTCTTTAAACTCTACTAGTGAGCAGCATTTACTTTCTTCTTAGAGTAATACTGTCGAGTCATTTAACGACAGACGTTTTGTTGTGTAGGGTTCGACATCTCCGCTAGCCCGGTAGCCCAAGGCTAGTAAAAATTTGGTCGGGCTAGTAAAAAAACCATGTCAAATAGCTCGCTGGCTAGTAGAAACTGAAATTGAAAGAAGTTTACTCAGCTTTTTCCTTAAATAGCACATCATGTTATCACAATGAAAGAAAAACACCATTTTTTATCATTTTTAAAAAACCTTGCCAATGAGTTTAGAGGAAGGTTTGCGTGTTTAGTGTTGAAGTAGACCTCGAGGGAAATTGATCCGGGCCACCAGTTGTGTTTCGGGCTGGTAAATTTTAGAAATCTTTAGCCCGGTGGCTAGAAATGCAAGCAGCCAGGTGTCGAACACTGCAGTATCGCTGAGTATTTTTACGAGTTGTACCGCATTTTGACGAGCCCGTAGGGCGAGTCAAAGTACAAACAAAGAGTAAATATACTCAGCGATAGTACATAAATAAACGTGTAATAAGTTATTTTATAATCCAATACGCCAAATTGTTATTTCAGTGCGGGCGAATTTCGCGGATATATCTGGAATACAAATATCGCGTGAATTTTGTACTCGTCACGCGCGTCATTTATACTCTACGAAGCACAGTTGGATAATAAAGGAAATTATCTCCTCCTAAGAAGCTTTGGTTGTTAAACAAGGTCTCCTTTTTAGTACCAAAGGAAATGTAAAGAGAAGTGGAGAATATGCTTTCAGTTGTTAGGGTGTGAAGACTGTTTTTGTCGTGAGATCGAGGAAGTTGCCCACTTTTTTTTTCTGGACTCTCTGGGGGCGCTAACTTTTAGATATCATCCATGATTAGAGATTGGTGAAGACGCCCAGAAGTTATGGCCATCTGTTTAGCGGGTTGGACTCCCGGATGGGTAGTTGCGGTCTTTTTTTTTTATGGGCAAGACACTTTGCTCTTACAGTGCCTCTCTTCCCTAGGGATATAAGTGGTTACCGGCGAGCTTTTAGGGAAGCCTGACGAAATGTTGGCCGGAGGGGGGGGGGGAAGGGGTGAAGGGTAACCTGAGATGGTCTGGTATCCCATCCAGGGCAGAGTAGCAGTACTCTTTGTCGCTTCATGCAACCGACACTGGGGTAAGCTCCAACAGCTGAGCTGTTAAAAAAATAAATAAATTAAAAAAAAAAAGTCTTTTTATAGGATTACACAATTACTGGTGAACCAGTAGTTTCCATTGTGGTCCTTGCAAACAAATGAAACAAATGGTCTAAATTGAACATAACATCATTAAGAACATCATTAAGAAACCCAACCGGCCGGAGGCAAACCAGTTGGCTATTTACAAGCGTGGCCAAGGATCTGAACTCGGGGCTACCGTGAAACAAATCCAGTGGTCAGGGTGGGACTCGAACCCGGGAGCGGCGGATTACGAGTCTGATACTCTAACCACTCGGCCACTGTTAGAGGAAGGTTTGCGTGTTTGGCGTTGAAGTAGACCTCGAGGGAAATTGATCCGGGCTACCAGTGGTGTTTCGGGCTAGTAAATTTTAGAAATCACTAGCCCGGTGACTAGGGATCGGCTGTTCTGTCTTGTTTGCTCTTTACAGACTACGTTCTGATTCTATATTATTATTTTTTTTTTTTTTCTAGGCGAAGACGCACCCCTTATTCAAGGATTCTCCGACGACGAACCATTGGTGACAGCTTAGACCGTCTGTTAGCTGACCTGGATTGTTCCCATTTGTGCATAGCTTTATAGAGACCTTAAACTTGCTGTTTCCACTCTGTAGGTCAAACTTCATACTTGGCAACAGCTGATTTGGTGATGTTCTTATTTTTTTAGCCCGGGAATCCGAGCTCGTCTGAACGACACAGAGCATAAACTCTTTGTGTCACAATTAGTGCGTGCCACTTGTGATCAGTCGTTCGTATGAAGGTAGACATGAATGGGTTGCTTTTCATACTTGGATTATCTTCAATGAGATGCAACTAAAAAATGCCCATCATCCAATTAATCCAAAACCGGAGTCGAGTGGGAACAGTAAGACTGAAACCTTCGCTAGACGTTCGTGGTAGTGTCATAATCTATTTTGTAACTCTTTGTAAGACGTAAAACGGCACCGCAGCATTCGTAATTTCATATTCATCTGGCAGTGGATGCTTATGGACCAGCCATTATTTATCCCCTTGGAAGTGGGAGCTGGCGGGTTTTGTTGTATCACTAAAATATATCTGATCCCCCTCTAGGGCTTTTAAGTATTCTACTGACACCCCACCCCCTCCCCCTCATTGACAGTTAATGTTTTGTTCTCTCTCTTTTATCTCTTACTGACGACTGATCTCCTCTACCTCTCCCCTAAAAACGATGTGATGTCCCTCCCCGCAAGGCGATAACTAACTGGTCCCCAAACCTTTCTCAAGGAATTGTAGCGTTGTAACCCAGAGTTTTAAAAACTTGGGGATGCGGAGTTTTGCGTGCTTCCTACTATAGGAAAGTTCTTAGCGATAATCATGGCGCACATATGGCGTTCTGTTACATTCCATTGATTGGCAATCAAGATCTGATACCAAGTCAAGGATCGCGCGAAATTCGAAGTATCGTTTAACCTTTCTATTCATTCCATGACAAAGGAGAAAAACGCTGCCTTATTTTTATCTGAGACTACCATCATTAAGTAAACCAAACGACTAAGATAGAAAATAATGTGTAGATAACAATTTTTGCGTCACCCTGTAGACCAAAGCTAATGCACAAGAATTGGACTTTAGTTTCTAACACCTCTCTTGGTTTTAAAGATACCAGAACAGTAGGTTTTCCGAAGTGCTTTCAAAAGGCACTCTCGTTATGTTCAGGCACCAGGTGATAATATCACTGTTTTTTTAAACGCAACTATAATAAGGACGTAACAGTAAGAGTTAACATCGCTTCTGAGTAGTTTAATCTTAGTAAGCCCTGGCTTGGTAGAGGTAATGATGTAATCTCCTCTAAGAGGAAAGAAGCGAAATTTTGGGATTTTCTGTTGTAACCTTTATAACCTTGTAAACAATTAAAGAAGAGTGGCTTAATGTAAAGAAAGAACTACTACAACGTGAGGCACTTCTTATAGCTGAGAGAGATATGTTTGATACAACTTGGCTTTAAATCGTACATAATCATCGATCAAACTGATGTTCGGTTCTTGGCTGATTCGTCCACGCTGAGGACATAATTCAGATTGTTGTGCTTTTATCAGTTCACAAAAAAGGGAAAAAAAGCCTAGAGTGGAGGTAAAAAATTAGAAGAATATTATAGCTACTTTTCTAGTTTAGTTTTTAAGACCCCTTGCTTGTTTGTAGTTTGGCAGAAACGTTACAAAGTCATAAACGTTGAAATTTCGTTATTAAAATAAGCATTTTGCAAAACAGGTCTTGTGGTGATGTGATCTATTTATACAGCAGTGTTTCCTGATCAATCACCTTCAAGGGAATTAAGGGTCAACACAGTCCCCAAATTCTCCCTTTTAGCTGCGCTACATTTCCTTGTTTTAAAATTAGCTCAGGAAAACTGCTGGCGTATCAGCCTGCTCTCTATCTTTTTAAGATACGGTACCAGCTGTGTGACCCGTTTCCTGGATTAGGAGTTGATATTTTGAGCAAAGGTTATAAGTAAATTACTCCCAGAAGAATAAATCCCTGTGCAATGGTTTTGGATCTCCAAGCGCTTTGCCCAGTACTTACCACTAACGACCGGAACGCTACACGTGTTTACTTGCAGCCTGAGACTAATTCTTTCTCATTTTTCTTTCTTTCTTTCTTTCTTATCTTTGATAGATTCCAGCGACCGTCCACGCCCTTCCATGTCATGTTATCTCCAATTCCTTAATGTTCTGCTCAGTACAATACAATGCCATTCTCTTCTCGTTTGGGAACAAAGGCATATACAGATTTGTATCGCAAACTGTCCAAGCGATGAAATTTCCTAACAGCAAACACGAGTCATTAAAACTCGTTTTTGTTTCTTTTCTTCATTTACTACGGCTTATTTTAAGCATTGTCAGTTGTACAACAGTCACAGGCTTTTCCAATCAGTTATTAGTAACGAATCTATCGCACAAATCACATCAACACGACCACAAACCCAATTTTGTGAAATATCAATGGTGCGCTCATGTGAGCGCACTGCTCCATCTGTTCTTCAAATGGAGTGATTTAGAAACGGTTCCCAGTCGTAAAGCAACAAAGCAGTGCTCCGCAGTTCCAAAACGTTGCATTTGTTTAATAGGATTTAAACAATTTTCGCGTACTTTACTGATTGATGAAGGGCGGCTAAGCTCAATCTGAAGGGTCACTAACCTCTTATTGTAGACAAAAGGTATTTTGCCGTCCACTGATTTACATGTCTAGTAATTACCTCTTGACGTGCTCTGTAAAGTCGGCAGGAAAATTGAAAAGCTCGGTTCAACAGCAAACAAAGTGTAGTGGAGCATGCGAGTGATATCGTCCTTGTTTACGCAATTATTATCGATGAAAACCGCCGCAAACAATTACGCAGACAATTACCTAGCAGCTGGTTCATGGTTGAACTGGCAACAGACAAAAATTTAAACGAACAGCGCATTTTCGCAGATCAGAGCAATCGCTCAAGTGCCACTATTCATCAGTGGTGAAATTTTCTTTTGGAATGCTTCGAAGACGAGGTTCTGCCCCAGCCGTCGTATTACAACAACATTTCGAGGAATCAAGAGGGGTCGTCTCGAGAGCGGACCGCATCATCCTTCCTTTAGAAACGCAAAAATTGTCCAAGGCTAAACGGGGTAAGAAGGATTTCGCGGAACGGAGTTACAGCCCTCCACCACTAGTGCTGTCATGTCCGGACAGAAAGACGAACGAAGCGCGCTACAGTGGTGACTATGACAGCGCATCACCCAGATGTCCGAGTCCACCTGGATCGCCAAGCTCACCAGTGTTAAGCAAGAAACCATTGAAATATCGACCAAGGAGAAGAGAGAGCGAACCTTTTGTGGGCCAGCCACCCGCGTCACTGAATTCGCGCAACACGACATCGAGTACGTTACATAGGAGAAGCACTTCGTTTAGAGATTATAACATTGTTCTTCTCGGACAAGGAGGTGTTGGGAAATCGGGTAAGTCAATACCATGATGTTACTTGAGAAAGAGAGTAATGATAGCTTATACAAGAATGTTTATAAAAGCCCAGTCATCTATAATTGAGCCAACTTGATCCAAATAGCGTGACTTTAGTAAATAGTTCCTTCCTTTTCTTGGCTTATTGTCGCCTCGTGGTGTTCTTGAAAAGAAAAAAAAAAGGATCATTCCTTTCGCAGAATCTAGTTTTGCTTCGCTCCGACCTGTATTGTTTATTTAAGATAGAATAATAATTTCGGTTTTGCGAATTATTTAAATACCTGTGATCAGTTGTGAAAAGCTACGAAAACAAATTAAAGTCCAATTATGTGTCATTATTCAAAGCTCATGCAATTTTTTTTCGGGGATAAAAACGTCTTACGGTTAGCAAACACAAAAGTTGAATTTCTTATCTGTCGTTAAACAATGGAGTTTAGTTGAGGAAAAATTTATATTTCAACTCTTCTTCGAAAACATTTATATAACGCGGCACCTTTGAGAGTGTTATTTAATATTTTTATTTGTTTAGGTTAAGTTGATCATTTTAGGTATTGGTTCCATATCTTAACGTCGTTACGAGTGGTTAACCAAGCAACACGAAATTCTAAAAGCAGCAATTTTCGACTCTTCTTAATAATGAAAATGTAGTCATTAATACGGAGCCACTTTACGCCGAAGTTCACTGAACGATCAGTGCGTAACTCAACGAGAGTAAAATCATAGTTACTTTGATGTTATCACGACTGAAGCTTCGGAACTGTGATAGAATATTTTAGTCTTTTAATTGATTAAGCATTTTAGTATTTGTGTTTGTCTTTTTTTAGTGGATGATTGTAAGTTAGTATTTCAGGGACATTACAGTCTGACTGCGGTAATCACTGATGCACCTCATAAATAAAGCGCACTAGTAAATGTTGGCGGCCACTTAGCTGCACAAGTAGTGCTTCGGGGCTTTGATCTCTCTAAGAATTCTTCACTTCTCCAGGAAAAAAAATCATAATCCGTTGGCACAATCCGATTGTTAAGGATAACCTATATAAATCCCATCTTCTAAGCCTAAAAATAGAAAAAAATAGATGACACAGAATCTTTAATTTAACGTCTCTGAAATGAGAAAGGTGAACTCAAAATTTAGTTTGGTTTAAAAGGAGCTTTCCGCTAAATTCGAAGTACAGTAGGACGCATGAGATGTAAAGAAGTGAAAATTCATTCAGCTACATCAGAAATGCTTGTAATCCTGTGTTATCTAATTCATTAAATCATAGTGTGCCCTTAAAATAACTTTTTCCTGAACAAACCATGTCCGCGCAGCGAACCTTAAACTTGGCAAGTACAACATTGTCCAGATTGGAAAGAATTTGTGCATGGTGCATTTAATTTACATGAGAATAAGATCTGATTATAAAAACCAACAGCCTACATACTCCATTTTCCTTTGTGCGTAATGAGTTTCAGATCAGTACAGCTTTAGTCGAGCTGATAACCCATTCCGCCATGGGGCCCCATGCTTGATAACACATCGTACCACAGGTTAACCAGATAAAATTGCTTTTGTGTTGCTATAAAAAGTCACAATTAAATTGCATTGCCGGGTCAGGTCCGGAGGGTAAAGAACTTAATCAGATTAGGTATTTAGTTTAGTCTGTTTAGCTCTTTTGATTCTCGATATAGCATGTGAATACTATCCTTTTGAAAAAAAAAAGAATTACTCACTCATGAAGTCCTGTAGCATAACATATGATACAAGTTTATACCGCTGCCGCCACAGAATGGCTCTATAGTTCATCCTTTAGGATGTTTTAGACCATAGCTGACCTCAGCTCAGCTAAAGAGAAGGGGGGAGGGGAGGGGAGGGGAGGGAGGGGAAGTGCTTCTAGACGGATCACATTTTCATGACTGGGTTGACTGCATTGGAGTTGCATATTAAATAGAGTTACTAGACAGGAGACGCACTTTTTCTGGAAAAGTGACCGAGATGGGGTTATTAACTGGCCGCAGAATAGACTGCTGTATAATGAGATAGGGTTTCTGAGAGGCCGGCGGTACATATCCAGCAAACTTGATCCAAGTATCCCCAAACCCCGCTCAGATCGTAACTTTATCATTGCACAAGTCTGAATGGGAGAAGGGTAAAGCCATCCCAGATTACTTTCGACACTCAGTTGAAAGATGTTCGAAAATAATTGTAATATTTGTTAATACAGTCTATGTTGTAGTAGCAGAAATGACATGTTACTTATCTACTTGTTCAATTCATTTTATGTACGCAGCATTGTTAGTGCGATTTACAACCGGACGATTTATCCACGAATACGACCCCACCCTTGGTAAGTTGTATATTTGTTTTTCTTTATTTTAATAGCATTGCTACAAAAGTTAACAGTTTTGAGATTGCATAACCAGATGGGCTGTTGGGGTGGGCACTCAAAATTGATGTCGTGTATACTTACACGTGTCCATCTCATCCCTTTTATGCGAGTCAACACTTACGCACTGTACTGTCATGGCAACCGCTGACTGCAGGGTGCAAAAAATGAATCACTATTCAGTAAATCCTTCCGCTTCGGGTAGGTTGATGACTGATTGGGTAGATCACATGGAATCAATGACGCAAAAAAAATTTTAAGATTTGCAGCTGCCTTTTCTAAAAACGTATGGGATTTCACCACATTTTGTTTGTTAGCGGTGATTAACCAACTCAGTCCTAATAATAACTCTCGGATTTCCTTATTACATTTAAGCGGATTAATAAATACCAAGAAAAGGAGACGACAAACTATTTCTTCAAAGTTTTTCAGTCTGGGAGGAAGGAATATTCTGACCACACTACAATTATGGAGAAATTTAAAGAAAGTAGTCGCTGTTGTTTGTTACGTTTTGTCTTTGAGGAGGTTTCTCCCACGCCTTCTTTTGGACATATTTTTGATCGGAATTTCCAATCTTTGCACTCTAAATCTTAAGTTTTGAAATCTACTGTAGACGTATGGTTTTCAGTTTTTACGAATAGGAACTAAGAATTTTTTGTTGGTCACTTGTCTAGATCCTAGCTCCAATCTTTTGTCTTCGGTTCCAATAACAATTCCGCGGAAATTTTTCCGTCAGTTTTGAGCGATTCTTGCTTCGTTTTGGTATAGGCCTTATCATACTCTCTTGCCCCAGATAGTTACATGGCAACAGTCAAAACCTGTACCCAGTCTCCATATATGTTTTTGGACCAGAAAAGCCGCTTAGAGTTTAGTTTATCGAACAGCACGGGAGAAATAGGAAAGAGTTTTCTTAACAAAGTCACCAAACTAGCGATTCACTAGCCGTTAAGCTTCGATGCATAGATAAAATTGAAAATAAGTCATAAAGGCATGTTTTCTGTTTGTGGCAGAAATGACCTACGATATGTGTGCTGAAATAGATGAGGATCCGGCTATTTTACACATCACTGACACCGCAAGCACGGTGAGTTTTAATAGACGCTGCACTACATCCATGTCAGCAAACAAAAGATCACATTTCGCTTTGCCAAAAGAAATGTAGCTATAAAAATTGCGATGAAATACTTCTAAAACCATTATAATACATTTTAAAAAGGGCTAAAATAGGTTGGTGCATGGCGTTTCTACGTTAACATAACGTCATTATCAAAAAAACAAAAAACGATAAGTTTAAGAAGCTCTAAATACTAAAAATAACAACGTTAACAGGTACTGATTAAAATCGTTTCACAACAATAGAAGACTTAAAAACTAAACAAAATGCTTTGCACTTCTGGAATCCGCTTGCGCGTTCAACTTCGGTTTAAGTTCTTTTTGATGAAAAGAGTTTCAGACACTGACTAAACAACCAAACCTGCTTTGACATTTCGTCAAAATCTTAAAAAGGCATTTATTAAGATCGTTATCCTTTAGTGAGATGTTTCCCTTTGCCGCATTCGTGTGTTCAGCAGCGCGTTAAAAAAATGGGAAGAAAGGAAGGAAAAGGTAAAAATGGTAAAAACAGGCTGATCTCATAGACATCACACGTGAATGGAATCAATTTAATCGTTATCCATGGTTCGTACAATCTTGAAAAGGTATTGAATTTTATCAGGCCGAAGTAGACCATCTGTTTCTAAATCTGGTTCTGCCAAATATATTATACGGGCTGCCCGTATTTGGCGCTGTAAATTCCGAATTAACAACAATCCAATGTTTCTTAGATCGATGTTATAAGCGCAAGTATACATCCGACCACATTAATGTCTATGAATTGTTAGATCAACAAGACACACGTATCTTCAAGAATGTTTTTAATAATACAATACACCCTTTAAGAGCTATAATGCCAAAAAAGAAATCAACCAAGTACAATCTGAGGAAAGAGACAAGTCACCATCCTAAAATAAACACTGATAGGTTCAAAAACACATTTGTCAACCGCTTAATTTTTAAACATAATCTAGTCTTAAAATTTTTATCTTGACTTTCTCTGTAATTTATATATATATAGTTTCTTTTAATGGTGTAACATAGAATATGTGATTATTGATCTTATGCCTTAATAAAGATTCAGATTCAATTCAATTCAATTTCAATTTCAATTTTAACGGTCGTCTTGAAAAGTCCTTGAATTTGGTTAAGTCCTTGAAAAGTACTTGATTTCGTCAGTAGGTCATGAAAAGTCCTTGAAATTTAGCAACTTCTGTGCGCCTTATTGCTTTTCTGATAAATTAAACGGTTTTGCTATGGAAAATTTGTCCACTAGTAACTACCAAAATGCGAAAATGGTCGGTATAAAACGTGAGTGGTACATGAAGCAAAGTTGGATCTGTGCCTCAATTTCATGCGCAAGGCGTCCAATGTGGGGTACTCCGGCATGTGCTTTTGTTTTAAGGGGCAACAACAACAACAACAAGCCCTAATTCATCTCGAATTTAAAAATTGCAAAACGTAAACATGTAGTGGTTTGGCTATGTTTTGGCCGATAAATTTTTAAAAGTTGTACGGACCATGGTTATCAGTAATCACATATACTTACAAGGTAAACGAGATCAACTCAGCTACCAAAACAAATTTATAAAAATATCTTTTCATGAATCTTCTCTCGTTTTATCTTGAATTTAACTAATTTTTCTTACTTTGTTCTCGTTTATTTTGCTATTTGTTTATTCATAAGTCCATTTTTTTAATCTACTTCAGCGTTTTATTTCTAATTTAACTAATTTTTTTAACTTTGTTCTCATTTAGATTGTTATCTATTTATTTATAAGTCCATTTTTTTCTCTACTTCAGCATGAACCAGTGTATCTGAGCCAAAATGAGGGCTTCATCGTCGTTTACTCCATAGACGAACCGAGATCTTTTCAAACCGCCACGCAACTTATCAAGCTCATCCGGGAACTGAAGAAGCAGCGAGGTCAACAAACTGCCATTGTTCTAGTTGGAAACAAAGTAGACCTGAGCCACTCTCGGTCGGTGTCCAAACAGGAAGCTTTAGAGTTTGCTTCGGAATACGAATGTTTCTTCCACGAGGCTTCAGCTGCTAACGATATAAACGTGAAAGTTGCTTTCCACGACGCCGTCAGGCAGTTGCGGATGATTCAGTTGAACAAGAAGGCAAATGGACCGATGAATTCGATCAAGAACTTCTTCTCGCGCTGAGAAAACTACGATGAAGAGTCATTATTTTCTGGGGGAAATTCAAGCTGTAAAAAAAATTAGGACGAGAGGAAAGAGGCTCTTTTGACTATGTTGTGCTGCTTTCCTTCAGTAAATTCGCCTGCTTTCTAAGGAACAGTCTTAATTCATCCCCTGGGTGGGGGAAAGTCGGAGGATTTTGGGGGAGGGGAGGGAAACAGTCGTCGCTTATAGAGTATAAAGTGGGGACTGTAGAAAACTTACAGTCAAATTCCCTTGGGGAATCAGTTAACTTTCATTGTCACACAACCAAAATCCTCCAAATTCCCCCACCCCTCAGGAATAATGAAGACCGGTCCCTAAATTAGTCTCGATGCTTCGTCTTGAAAAGTTCCCTAAAGTACAGATGCTGGAAGGGCGAAGCAAAGGTCCATCCAAAATGGATGCTTTTGCAGAAGAATAATTACTGTCTCGGTTGTTTTAAACTGGCTACAAAGCTATTGCCTTCCCAAATGCGCTATGCTCCCATCCTGAAGACATCCTAAAGCGTTACTCATAGACATAGAATAGCGTTTTCATACATTCAGGTATGGAGGACCAAAATGGTATGATTCTTTTCTCTGTGTGAGGAAAATTCATTCCAAAAATCTTTGATTAGGCTTATAAAGTTAGTCGTACCATGATTTTAAGGTATGGACTCAGAATTCTCTCACTCACTCATTCACGCACTTAGTCCATTCTGATCTGTTAGACATTTAATTTATGAATTAAACGTGGGTCAAACGCGTTATCCCTATCTCTTCTATTAGTTTTGGTTCTATTCCCAAAACCCTTTTGTAATACACACACGCGCAGGCCTGTTATCTTCTCGTTTTCCCCTTTTACATACCTAATGCAAAGATGTGTGCCGCCAGTTGTTCGCATGCTTGATGTAAAGTAAATTAAGTAAATGCTCCACAAAAGTGCCAGTTTTTATGGTCAATTTTTTTTATAAAAGGCAAGATCAGCAGTCGTGACTTTTTTGTAGACCTGTTTTCTGAGAAGTCTGCTCGCGAAAATGAACTCTTTACCGTTAAACAACTTCATATTAAAACACGCGAACTCCGCCAGAAAAACTTGATAGTTCCGGTTCAAATTTCCCAACCCATCCAGGCAAGGTTCAAATTCTCCATTCCGTGGGCATGAACAACAGTCAAATGCCCTGCCCAGAGGGATTTTGAAGCTTGAATTGAACGGCGCATAACTACCACTTTTTATAGGTACGGGGCTTTACTGCGAGCGAGCTTCGCGCGTGCTTCGAGCTCCGCTATAAGAATCATACATGTGCTCTTTTTACAGTCGTAAAGTGGCTGAATAGTAACGAAATTGTCGACACTGATGCAGATTGAAAAACATCGGCACATTGTTAACTCGAAATGCCGATGAAAAAAAAAAAGAAAAGAAAAAAGAACGATATACCGGGGAGTTACGCTTGAACAATAAACATAAAATGCTGTTGAAGAAAAAATGAGTTTGTGTTGATATTTCAACACTGTTTGCATCTCTCCGCTGAACTTCCTATTTCGTTTCATATTTGAACGAAATTTAACGAAGACTTTGGTGTCCATTATTCTGGCTTTTGAGTTATAAAACTGACTTGAATTACAAATAATTTCCAAAATTGATATTCATGTTTGCACTCAACCTTGCCCGTGAAAAGAGCTTACGAACTAAAAGAACTGTGAGCGTCTTTTTGTAGCGTCTATGGGGTCAAGGAAAAGGTAATTTCGAGCCATCTATCTTGGATATTGTCTGTTCTGCCCAAGGTCGGGGAGTGTTTGCTGTGCTGGATCAATTGCTAGTAGTTCAGATGTCATGTCGTGGATTCACAATCATGACTTTCTCACGATCTTTCTTTAGGTAAATATAAATTAAAATGTAGTCTTCATTTTCATCGTTTTGGCCCTTGCAAAAGAGTTCACGTAATCAAATGTCAGAAGGAAGAGCGTAATGCACACAGTACAGTGTGGGACAAATTCTCAGTGGCGGCCGCCATGACAGCCCTACTTGAACGTCACTTAAGAAACGCAAGAACTTTAGTACTTTTACTGTTAGAGTACTAGTCGCTAGTTTACCTTTTCTCTTTTCATTCCTATACATATTTTTCAGCTAGCTTTTACAATTATTGTGTGTTGAACTTAATTGTGTTTCAAATGTACTTGTTATAAACTCCTTTTTTTTTTGGCCCATCGATTCGTTCCCATCTTTCATACAGAGACCGTGAGGGCGCCGTACTTGATTTTCTTTATTTTTTCAGGAAACCTTACAAAATACTCAATAATAACCTGCCATATACCTGCTTCTAAATAAAAAAGAAGTCGCTGTACTCTTCGTCATTTAATCCATATATACTACAGAAATTAGGCTCAACTCTGACAGCTGTACAAGGCAATACTGAATAGACAGGCCTTTACCTGTAATCTTTTTCTGTTGCTCTTTCTCACCATTTGGAATGTAAAGGCGCAATCTACATTTATCTTAAAACATTGATATCTTGTCCATGTATGTAACTGAATTGAGTGTTTGATCTTCGAATATCATTAAATACTATGGAATGAGTTGCATGATCCATATAACCCCATACATTAATGATCCATTCCATTTCATAAAGACTAAATATAAAGGTTCCTTTGGAACATTCTACGCACAATTAATGTATGGGGTTATATGGAACTCTTGCCAATATACACTATTACCAT